TTTTTTTTTTTTTTTTTTTTTTTTTTTTTTTTTTTTTTTTTTTTTTTTTTGCAATTTCATCATTTTAAAATGAAGTAATCACATTTTATAGATATTTACTTCCATCACTCACTGTGCTTGCATACCTGGGACTTGTAGATTACAGAAAGATGATAGGTTCTTCTTCTTTTTTGTATTATGTGAGGGAAAGCTTTTTGATTTTGGAGATTGTAAAATAATGTCATGAATAATGATTTGTCTTTCTATTTTGGGATAAGAAATTGAAATGATGTCATCCCATGTGGAAAAAAAGGTAGGTAGATAAGTTTCCCTCTCAACCTAAAGCCAGCGAGCTAATGAAAAATAAACCTACTGGGTCCTACTAAAAAAGACGAGAGAAAAAATAAAAGAACCATTTGTGATTAAGAAAAAAGTTGTGGAAGAATGTAATGGAAGAACACAACAGAACTCTCACAATCAATGCATTGTAAACATTCCTGAACGCTAGATTATTTTATTGGACAGTTTGAATTTTCATACCATTTTGTAAGGCAGGCTACTTGTCTTCTCGGTCTCGTTATTTTCTTGGGGAAATACAATATTTTCATGCAAGGCATCTTGGATTGTCAATTTCTTCTTGAATTTGATATATCTTTGGGTTTCTTGCAGCTTCTTGAACCTGGAAGATATATATGGCTGCTAAAAGTATTATACGGTCTTCTAATGTTACTTCCCCAGGTATGCCTTCTCAATCTCCAGTTGCTCCTTTTTCTACCTTGTTAACGTTATATCTTGGACAAGAGTCGCTTGGTCTGCATGTTTGGTGGGCTGTAGTGGTGACAAACTAGATCATTGTAGTCTACGAGTTCATGCACCCTTGTTTCCAGTGAATTTCAGGCGAGTTACACATAAGACATGACGTATGATTACCCACGACGAATGAATAGCTCGGGTCACTCAAAGGTTTAGATCTCTCCTAAAATCGTAGGTCTCTTAAGTTGTGTGGATCTCGCCTAGTTGGAAATTAACTAGAAAATGACATTTGGACCTACCAATTACTAAGCTCATGAGTAAAATTGTTGAGTTTAAAAACTTAGGGTATTCTTTCCTTTATAATATAATGATAATTTTTTTTGAGACATTTACATAATTAGTTAAATAAATATTATACTTTAAATATAATATAAAGCTTGAAATTTTACAAACTAGCACAATTCAAATCAAACTCAAACTCATATGGTATAAAATACAATTAGATAAGTTACAGAAAAACAAAAGATTGTAACATTCTTGTAAGCTTCAGGTGTTGAAGTTTATACGTAGGCTTCAAACCATGTTTATCCAGGAAGGAGATGATTCATATATTCCTATTATTATGATATTATCTAAAGTTTAAAACAATTTTCTTTCTTTCTTCATTGAGTGAAAAATTCAAGAAAGAGAATGGTTGTGATCGGTGTAAATCATTGCTATAGCTTTTCTTCCCTTATAATCGGAGAGATCTTTTGTAAATCTCCCTGCAGTAGGCCTCCCCTCTTTTACAATTTCATTTAGTTTTTTATCCAAAAAAATGAAAATCCGTAGACATGGAAGTGTTACAAATTCTTGGTTGATCATGTCTTTTGGTTATTAGTAGCTATGATGATGATTTTGGTTTCTTATACATGGTGTTACATCATTTAGTGGGGAAACACTAATGATTAGTTCGTGTCACGATAAAATATTGATTTTAATAATGGAAATAAACGTTGTTCACCAGTGGGCAAATAGTATTAGCGATATAAATTCTCAAGCTGATGAATTTGATATAGTAGTAAATACTTGAATGGTTTCTTTTTTCTGCTAACCTTTACCTGTGCAATGCTAAAAAAAGATTGTTCACGTCTGTAATGAATGAGAACACTCTTGTGGTGCTTTAATGGACTCTTCGTTTTCCTTATGGCAGCAAAGTGCTGCCTTTAAGATACTGCAAACACGTCTGAAAACAGTGCCTCCATACTCATTTAGTGGTGAGCACTTCAAGCAATTATCATCTGGGAACTCCTACTCCACCCTAATGCACATGTCTGGGTTGAATATAAATGAAGATGGTGATGTAAGCCAAAATGCTGGGAACTCTCATAATGGAATTGACTTTGCTGCTAGGCTACAACAGTTTGAGCACATGCAGCATCGACATCGCTTACGTTCAAAAGAGCAGACACTGTCACGGACCAGTCCTCCGCCTCAGCTGAAGGCAAGTGTTTTTGACATAAATTCATTGTTGCCAGAATCCTTTAGCTTTACTAGCGTCATCCGTTTCAACCAAGAAAAGAGTATTGAAATTGTTTTTGATGCAGGAAGTTAAGATCCCAGAAGAAACCAGGCAGTCAGGCTCAGGTGAAGGAGCAGAAATAAATAGGCCTCCTTCAAGATCATCAAGGAGAGGGGCTGGGCAATTATAGTTATGATTATATATGCTTGCCTCCATTATATATATATATATATATATACACAGTGGGGTCTCAGTGATGGTAGTTTGTAAAATTGTATATCATAGTAGAGAGTTCGGTTTAAAAAGACATTCTTCTTTAGCTGTGTGATTGGGGACGGCTAGTTTATTAAAACAAAAATTGAGATGAGCTCAGTTTTTGGCTGAGATAATGTTTTTTTTTTCTTTTTCACTTTGTAAAAGGGGATATTTTGACCCATGTGGTTGTGTTCTTTTTTTTGTTGAAGCCATTATGGGTAAAAGAGGGGGAAAGTACTTAGAAGAAGAAGAAGAAGAAGAAGAAGAAGAAGAAGAAGAAGAAGAAGAAGAAGGTTCAGTTCTTCGTTTTTTTTTTTTAATATTTTTATTTGTTTTGCTTGTTTGTCGGCCTTGTAACAATCTTCTTGAATAAGTTGAAGCTAATTCATGTACAGACACTTCTGGTGGGTGTTATTGTTATTTACTTCTTCAGCCAATGCTTCTTCCAATCAATTGTAAGCTTTTTAGGGTTGTTTTGCTTGAACAAAAGGAAAGGGTTTGAGCTGTTGCAGACGATGTCTCGTCTTCACATTCATCAAATGCCAAACTCGGTCGAGCCTGTCGGTCTTTTGACTAAAAAGAGTATGCATCACGAGATATTGTTTCATTAAGCCACATGTTGCTTTTAGTTGGGAATAAAATGTAAAAATCGCCACAAAAACTGTCATCAATTCTAGTTAGGTATGGTGTGTTAATAATCCAAGCTCACACCCCAAGCACAATTAAGAAATAAATGCATTAAAATGATATATAACCGTATAAATATTACTAAGGGTTTATTATTATTCAAAATTTTTTTTACTAAAAATGAATTTGTAAGTAAAAAATTTGCACAGAAAAAAAAAAGAAAAAAAAAAAAAAAAAAAAAAGAA